TTGCTGCTGCCTCTCGCAGACGCTGTTCTCCTGTCAAATACGGCAGATAAATTTATCATTTTCGTCAAACTTTGCTATATGAATCTCCACCAAGTCACATAGTGGTTAGTGCCCCACGCGGCACTTGATATGAGTTAGGTCCTGATGCTACCTTCCATAGTACAGCATCAAAATGACGCAATCGCTCGCTTAAGCGACTTCTACTTGGGAGACAAACCTCGTCCAAACAGGGAGGCCATCTGCCTTGGAGTTGGACCTACTTGATGTTCCTTGATTGCATCCAATTCGTAGTCAACACGCTATCTAGTCCTTACACTTGACTGTTTCAAAAGCACAAATGACAGAGGGCCTCGCTCCCTCAAAAAGTATTGAAGTTCGGTCAAAATTTTTCTCATGAGTTGACCGATACTCCAAGGGGAGCTCTTGTGGGTACTGTCTACAACTTCTCTCCCGCTTCCGCCGTACGGACTGGATGAACAACGTTGCAACTGGATATGGAGGAGGTGTCTCTAGGTGAATCACTCCCGGAGCGCCACTGGCTAGACCTCCAGAAAGGGCAGAACTGGTCGAGACTAAGACTAATTCGTACGAATTAACCCGCTATCTAATCATTACACTTACTGTTCCAAAAGCAATGGCAGAGATCCTCACTCTCTCAAAGGTGTTGAAGTTCGGTCAAAGATTTCCCCCTTGAGTATCGGTCGTGAGTTGGCCGATACTCAAGGGGGAAATCATAGCCTTCGTCTCTTTTGTGGATAAGAATCCCTAATGCTCGTAGTTTGGAAGCTCACTCGGGATCCTTCTTTTGAACTTTAGGAGATTGCTTTTTCATAGAGTTCATCATTCATAAAGGACGTATCTCGCGATCAGCAAAACGTTGAAAATCTTTGCCGTGAAAGAAGTGCACACACGTGAGCAGCCACCCACTTAAAGGCAGTTGGCACGATGGTTTCCTACTTAGCCTAAAATGCTAGTAGGGCGCTGTATAGTGGGGAAATGGCGAAAGAACGGAGTGAAACGGTCAAAATCCTGCGAAGAAAAAGCCTCCGTTCTCAGTGACTTGTAAATCGATTTCGGACGAGTTTCCCGTAGGCATCTTACCAATCACCGCTACCGAAGATACGGCTGCATATGTGTACCCATATATGACAATGCAGGGCCATCACGGTCCGCTTCATACCAACAGCCTTTGCTTCATAATTTTGCCAGACCCAATGAAATGCATACGAACGTCAGGCCAGGTGCGCCGCATTTGTAGTCCGGGCAGGCATGGGCGGCGTTTGGGACGTAATGTTGTGGCTTGATAGGCCCTTATAAGGGCACCTTCCTCGGGGAAACCGCTATGCAGCGCCTGCCCAGGGTCGCGGAATTCTATCCTGCCAGGAGTATTGATCCTAGTCGTCTTGGGGGATTTATCGTGCCAACTGCCTTCAAGCCATTTGGAAGGGCATGGCAGGCGAGGCACCTTATCACTTTGAGGAAAGCGTCAGATGGGAAAATCAACAATCGGAAGATTGTTAAGTTATTTCTGCCAAACGAAGTTGTTAGATAGAACCTTTTTATTGGCCCGACGTTTTTGATCTCTCTCCTCTCAGAGGCCTGAAAGGGCTCGAATTCTCAATTTGTCCACCGTCACCGCCGGCCGAGCGCCTTCCCACTCTAAGCGTTTTCCAACACGTGCTGTCCTGTAACGCCCTCGGAAGAACCAGTAATAGACTGCGCACTACTCACCGAGGTTCCACCGTGCGGAGCCTAGCTCACGCTATGTGTCAGTAGTGTAAGTAAGGACGAATGAGTCTCACTAGAGTCTCATCGTGTCACATAAGTCAAAATTGTCCATTGTGCACGTCGCCCTTACTGTAGCTCGCACTCTGATACAAACGGCAAGAACTCATTAGTAATTGACGGACACTGTTTCAGCCGTTCATCCTTGGTTTTCTCGCAAAAATCCAAAACGATTCCAGGGCTTTCCTGGAAGATCTCTGTCTCGTACCCGAGTATCGTACACTTAACATCAAAGTCATTCCCGTTATGCTCCTCAATCTTATGCTTGCCAAGAGGGGTTGTCATCATATCACGCCTCTTCCCAGCTAGGTGTTCATTGATGCGAGTAGCTAAGTCCCTTCCTGTTTCCCCGATGTACGTGCTGTTACGTAGCCAACGTATTTTTGGTACTTCTCGTGTGAGCCTGATGTACTGCGACTGCTCATTTAGTAATCGGAACACTCATCCATTTCGGATTGTGTTGATGTTATAATGAAGTCGTCGATGTACCTGCAGTACATCAAAGGAGTACGAGTCAGTACTGGTTCTTCGATTCTGCTCATGAAGCAGACCGCGACCCATTGTCAAACCTCTGACTTGAGAGTAGTAGCGTCCTGACCATTTGAAGATATTACAGCGTAAGCATTCCTCAACCAGAGTCATGATGTGCACTTTATTTAGTCCAAAGGTGTTAATAGCGGCAACATGCATATCCAGCATCTCTGACAAAGCCTGTAGCGCTTGTTCGTTTTGGACGTTCGTGTAAAGTGCAGTGACATCAAACGACTCCACTACACAATCGGTCCCGAAATTCGAATTGTGTAGCTGGTGAAGGAATTGGTTCGAGTTGGTCAGGTGAGAGGGGATTTTGGTCAGGTATTGTGACTGATATATTTGATTGGTAGGAGATTGTGAGAAAAATGGGGTAATTTATTAACTTGAATGCAGGGCCGACTTTGCTGTTAAGTGTACGATACTCGGATACGAGACAGAGATCTCTTCCAGGAAAGCCCTGGAATCGTTTTGGATTTTTGCGAGAAAACCAAGGATGAACGGCCGAAACGAGTGTCCGTCAATTACAAATGAGTTCTTGCCGTTTGTATCAGAGTGCGAGCTACAGTAAGGGCTACGTGCGCTAATGACAATTTTGACTTATGCGACACGATGAGACTGAAGTGAGACTTATTCGTCCTTACTTACTCTACTGACATATAGCGTGAGCTACGTGGAACCTCGGTGAGTAGTGCGCAGTTATTACTGGGTTCTTCGGGGGCGTTCGGGACGTCGGAAACGCTAGAGTGGGGAAGGCGCTTGGTCGGGTAGGTGACAAATTGAAAGCTTCGAGCCATTTTCAGGCCTCTGAAGAAGACGAGAAGGTGCCAATAAAAAGGTTCTATCTAACAACCTTGTTTGGCAGAAATAACTTAACATTCGACATCATGCCGAGGTTACAAGAAGGGACAACTTGGAGATAATCGGAAGATTTTTTTTCGAAATCAAATGTATACGATCTCCGCCCACTGCGACAATCTACGACGTGAAGGATGCTGCGTCCTGTTGGCGCGTGAAATTTCCGCCAAACCTAGCCCCTTGACACGATCCAGCATCCACAGCGAATAAGGAACAAGGCTGTAAGGCAATATGCGCACAGAGGCGCCAAACTGCTGTATCGCACAAATCAGGGTCTCATTTAGGGTGTTTTCCACGATTTCGCGTTCTTCTTTATTCATGGCCTACGTACCACTGATATTTTTATACAAACCTACAGAGTAACGCTCACACTCTTCATCATTGCTGGCTTCATTGTCATCATTGTTTATTAGATTTTACAACATAGTTCATTAATCTGTTTCAGAGACTTTATTTATTTGTATAGAAGGTGAACCCACCAATGCGGCAACTACTTGTACCTTTTCACAGTCATTGCAATCCAAGCTTTCGCAAAGAAGAGAGTTCTAACTCGTAATAATCTTCTTCAAGCCATGTGATTTAAAGGCACAGCTTCGCGACCGCAATTGCGGGAAACGGAACTCAAATAGGCACAAAAAGTGCTAAGTATCTGATTAGCGGAGAAAAGCAGCAGAAAAAGCAGTCCGAAATGTTATAGAGAAAGATAACATAGTGGCTACTAGCTAGTAGCTAGCAGCCGGTGAGGGTCGGCATGGGCCTAAGGGGTGTCCATGGGCCTAATTAGTCAGCTTCTTGCCGTTTTTCACATTTTGAAAGTAGCGCAGCCTCAAAAATCGCCTTCCGGATCGTCCGACACATTTGAGAGGTCATAGCCTTATTTTATCGCGGAAAGTGCCTTTAATTGCTTTTTTTCAAGCGAGTTGTGATTTCTGAATTTTCGTGGAAGTTCCCTCATTGTTATGTGCAGCATGAATCCCTCAATGTCGCCCCTCAGCGCTCAAGTGCTTAGCTAAGAGGCAAAGACAATGAAGCCTTTTAAACTATGGATTTTCACCGAACAATCCAAAAAAACTGCTCTTTCTCGATCTTTGCTTGCGTGTGTTTACTGGTAACTAAACAAGCAACGCAAACGTTCCATTTGAAAAAGAAAAAAGGATTCCTGCAACTCAAAAACGTCTCTTACTAATAAAACGTGCTTCTCCGAGTTCTTGTCATCCGGCTGCACGGTAGCCTTGAAAAGTGAGTCGGCCCGAAATTTCGCCACCATATCACCTTAAAGTAGAGAGTTATGTGTTGTGATCCCTTGGTTCGTAGCTAGAAACAAACACCAACCGTACAGTTTCTCTATTGACACATGCTCTTGCATGGAATGCCCGAGACTTGGCCATCCTCCAAAATCAGCTACCACTTCGTCAAATGTCGTTCGCCAATTATCGAAGATCTCTGCTTAAAAAAAGGTCCCATATGCCATGGAATTCACTCTGGGAAACTACAACTCTAGCTCTGATGGCAGTTGTTCCGGACAAGATGTCCTTCGATAAGCAATCCATCATAAAGCTAACGACGCTGTTGCCGTCAACGCTCATACGGTGTAATAACCAACATTACTCGATTGCTCGATCATTCATGCTCATCAAATACCATGACACTAGGTCATTTAGGTCACACATTGTAGTCAGAAAATAATGAATCGGTACTCACATTCGTTCAGACAGAGTTTGTAGAAGAACTTGGCCTTGCCAATGGCACTTTCCCGATCGAGCTCCTCCTCTCGACCGATCTTTTCTTCTAATAACTCTGAAAAAAGTACGATTATTTTAGACTAGGGAGCTATGCTGAGATTGCTTGCGACAGAATTCATCAAAAGCCCTTAGAGCTATGAAAGTAGTGAACAACTGATGGACAACAGAGGGCTGCTGAAATTCGCCGTCGTGGCGTCAAGCGTCTTTCAGGACGACAATCAATTTGAGTACTCTAACGGTGCACATCCTGCCTCCTGCCGCTGGGGAAAATTTTTGGGAAATACGACCTCCCTTCCCCATCCTACCTACCAATTTACTGGATTTTCCCAACCCAATACCACTTTTTCCAGTTTTTCCGGAATTTGACGAAAATTTCCTCGTTTTTCTCCAAAACTTTACTGTCAAGCTGGAGCTATAAAGCACATGTGAAGCAGGAAAAATCGCGAAAAGTCAACAACCCGGAAACATTTTTCACCAACACTGCAAATTTCTCACGGAGGCAAAGACCTCCTCTTCTCCCAGCAACGAGCAAACACGACCCTTCCTCCCCCTTCACAGCGTCCAGCGTCCGTGGAACAAAGGAGCAAGAAAAAACAACTATAAAATTTTTTTTCAAACCATTTACGATTCTCCCTCACCCTAGCAACCAGATACGACCACCCCCACCCCCGCCCCCCCCCCTCTCCCCCCCCCTCACTCTCTGCAGATTCTCGAAGTGGTCTGGATTCCAGGGCACATCATCGTGCTGATGAATATGGGAGAGTCAGCACGATCTCCTCTCTCAATAAAATGAAGTCTTTGTACGACTCCCGTGACCTGGGGGACACAGCCATATGTGCTCCGGCCATATGCGCTCAGTTTTTTCACCATGGCCATCCACGTGCTGGACCATAGGCCGAAGAGAACATGTGCTTCCTCTGATGAAATAGTTTTTTCGGAGCAATATATTAGGTTGGCGGGAAAGTTCTGTCACATTTTTCAAATTAGGCTTTCTTTTTATAGAGAGGCGTGTAAGATCAAAATTGTACAGCAATGTTACTGCGGGGTCCTTGCCAGTTTTTGAGCACTTCGATGGATGCCATCGCTTCACAATGCTGGCCGGTGCGACGCAAAGTTGGACATCATCTCAATTTTGACTTGAACTCGGGTTATGGAGGTTTTCTCGTCCACATAACGATTGAGTACGGGAGGCAACTAGCAGTTAGAAGGAGCAATGTCTGTGCTACATTTCACCCTCAGTACCCTGCAGTGCAAGGGGAGAGCCATCCAGCTCTATTGCATGAGGTTCGGCTCGAACTTTTTTGGACGGAGTGGGCTGCACCATCACGTTGAAGACGGACTGTGCGGACGAATTTTTCCCTCTGATCGACGATTCGCTTCAGCTCTCGTAGCTGCTTTGCATACGCATTCAATCTGAGTTCACAGGTAACCCAAACCTCACTTCGTCATCAAAACTGTAGGCTCCCGCTTTGAAGCATTAGCGTCGTGGAAGGTTGTCCGATAATTGAGGGCATCGTCCTTATTCAGCTCCATTATTTTGGCATCTGCAGCTAACATGCTGGGTGGAGGAAGAAAGAGTTTAAGGAAGCGTTTAGAGGGGTTGGTGCCGAAGGTAAAATCCTTGTTCCACAATGCAGAAGAAGAAGAAGCAGGAGTCAAGCGAGTGGTACTAATAGAAAGACACTCCTTGATGTATAAGTGCTCACATTACCGGTTACCCCTCTTCAGGTAATGGGCAAGTATTTTGAGTTCGAAAAAGTGTGACAGAACTTTCCCGCCAACCTAATAGCACGCACGCAACAAGATAACAGCTGCTTTAAAATAGAGACATTCCAATAAAGAGCATCCAATCGCCAAGTTCAGAAGGACACAGCCACGCCCACTTCATCGCTGAGATATGTGCCAGGGCTTTGTTAACACAGATGTTGCTGTTCATTTACAACATTGAAACGTAAAACATGGGAAAATTTGAAAGAATTGAGAAAAAAAATTGTGGATGAGGAGCCGCTTCTCATTTGATATCCAGCTGCTATCTAAATTTTTTGTTGCGTTTTTTCTGTATACAAAAATAAGCGCTGGGGCTGATGTATTCTGAGAGCAATAAATCTATTTCATGCTCTACCCTCTATTGATAGCTGCACACATAATGCAAATTGACTCAAGAAACTGTACTTTGCCTATTGGTGAGCTCAAGGGTACGCTACCATTCCCATTCCACTTTTATGCACTCCAACTAATGAACGTTAGGGAGCTTGAAGCAGATCTCCCTAGACTGCGTTCATACTTTGCGGCTGCGTGTACCAGCGATCACCAGCGACCATCGGCGTTTCGAGCGTCCGTCAGCGTCAGTGACTGGGAAAGTACAGATATCGATCTAGCGAACGGCCGTCTACCAGCGTCCGAAAGCGACCATTAGCGTCTACCAGCGACTAGGAGTACCACGTTGTATAGTAGTATTGTGCCGTTGTACATGCTACAGTTTCACGACGCCTGATCGATTGTCTGCTCCCTCTCCCCGAACTCTACCAACAATCAGCTACCCTCCTACTTCCTCACACATTTTATACCTGAACCCTGGTGGTCCGCTGGTAGATGGCTGGTAGAGATACCTGTCGTTCCGCTAGACCGTATATGCTATGCTGTGTTGTTTTAGCCGCTCACGGCTGACGGACGTTTGAAACGCTGATGGATATGGAAAATAGTAAATACCACCCACCCTCACCCTAAAACATGCCGAGCTGAGGAAAGGGTTGACAGCAGACATGGACAGATATTGTGAAACTACGAGCCCATGGCCACAATAGGGAAGACGCGACCCCTATTCAAAACTGAAATACGACCCTTGCTCATCCGGCATGCCATACGGTGAAGGGCCCTAGTTGCCTGGAGGGAAGAATCAGCTGAAAGCGGAGGAATATATGAGCTCGGGTAAGGGCACTTGCAATCCCAGGTGGTGAGGTATCCCTTTCTCAAGGATGGGTCGCTCTCTACATTGACTGCTTTTTTCAGAGCTGAAAGTGAAGCTTGCACAAGGTTGCAAAACCAATAATTTCCCATTCTAATGCTCATCGCGAATTCAATCCAGCTGGAAGTCCGCCTTACTTGGTGAATGGATGTATTTTTTACTTCGGACGCCTACACCCATTTTTAGTTGTTCTATGAGCAAATGACGTACAAAGATTTTCAAACAATGGCTTCCAAACTTTGCCCATGTGTTGGTTATTCCTGTACATGTCGCAAAAGCAATAGTTTCAGGGGCAGTTACAGTGACAAGGGCACAGTGCGCGATAGTAAAAGAGGGCACAAATCACCAGGAGATATTAAGCAGCGCGTGTGGGGAGAAAAAAAGCAAAAAAAAGTTCAAAATGATATATCCCCTCGATAAAGCAATATCATTTTGAGCATGGTCCTAGCACAGGGAAAAGTGTGCTCGGATTAGTTACTGGTCAAGGTCCCCTGTCAAATAC